AAGCACCAAAGGCCACATGCCATTCTATGAAAACAGTCCTTAATGCCTACTGTTACAGAAAGGGAAAACCAGAAACTGAGTTGCAGCATGGGTTGTAAGAGTTGTCCTAGGTATATTGCAGGAAGCCTAACTCTGGTCGAAGTCACTATGTGCAATGTGACTGGTAGGTAAAAAGTGGCATGGATGTGCTAAAACATGCTACAGTTTTCCCTCTGGCTGAAATTCAGACATATTCTTAACAGCTGTGAATGCTGTCCTGAGGTTTGTGCTCACCCTTCCAGTGGAGCTGATGTGATATTCAGATATAGGTACTGTGCTGGCAACGTGGCTGGAGTAAATTTCACTCCTGGAGAGATAAACACATGCACAAAACCCGAAAGGGAAATTCTCGTGTTGCGAGTGATGTGCCGTGACAATTCTTTATCTGAAATCTTATCAATAGTAACAGCCCTCAGTGTCTCTGCCATTTTATAAAGATGTCTTTAAGGACTCAGCTAGCTAGCCAGCTGGCATCTGTCCTCCACTCAGGTAGATTGTTATTGCCAGTTTCTGCTGAAGTGAGGCACTATGACACTAATTTAATTCCTTTTACTTACTAGCAAATAAAAGTTTAGCATTTCTGCTGCTGTTGAAAGTTATATATGCTAGTTCCATGCTGTATGTACACATATTTTAATATTCAGTCACATGGATTTCTATATATTATAAAATTTCTAATGTTGACTCTACCCAGTGTCACTTATTCAAAGGGATCCTGAAGAACTGTAGACATGTTATTTTGTAGTCTAGAATCTCAAAAAGTGATTGACACTGTGTACTTTATCTAGTTCTATTTAAACACACAATAAGATCAGTAATTAACAAGAAACCAGGTAAATTCTGCAGGATCAAAGGATATGGCAGAGGCTGAAACGAGAAGTAGCATCCAATTATTGCAGCATTTAGAGAAATATTGCCTAAGTCCTACTTCTTCTCTGCTTGCAATGATCAAATCAACAACTTGAAAGTTCAACTTTTTCAAGCAGGTGGCAGGAGGTCTGAGGTACAGCTTGGAATTTCCCACTCCCAGGCGCCAGCGGCAGGAAAGGCCCACTGGTCGTGACCCCTGTGGCGTGGGCGATAGAGCTTATTGCAGCTCCATGGAAATCTAGCCAGCTTTCGACCTACAGGAGTCTGCCTTTTAAACCTGAGGCAAGAAAGAAAGTTGAGGATTCTTGTAGCAAAACACCTGCTCTGCCATCTGCGGCAATTTATGATGTGTGGAATTTAACTGTGTATCCCCTGCCTGCACTTGTATTATCTCATTCTTCTTCCCAGCATGTAACTATGTTGAAACTGTTCCTGCCTCAGTCTTTATGATCTAGGTTTCTGATTTCTGTGCTCTACTGTATTTTAGAACATTTCATCCAATGTGCTGGAGGAATCTGCTGTTTCAGATGATGTTTTGTCTCCAGATGAAGACGGTATATGTTCTGGGAGGTATTTCTCAGAAAGCGGCCTGGTAGGGCTGCTGGAACAAGCAGCAGAGCTCTTCAGCACGGTGAGTGAGAGACAAAGTCATCATGAGATGGAATGGGGCTACCTGGGCCAAATCCATTGCTTATTTTCCTGCACACGAGGAAATGAAGTCTTACTGCTAAACCAGGCTCCACAGATCTGCCCCACTGCAAACAAGAGGCGGAGACACACCTTATAGCTGACCCAGCCCTGCCTCAGCCAGGTCGGCTAAGCTAAGCTTTTCAGGTAGCCTAGCTCAGTCATGTACCCACCTCTACTGTGCAGACTGCAGGCAGCATTAGCAGAAAGTGACTGTCCCAGGCATGAACCAAGCCTTTTGTTTGGTATTTTCATGGGATAGTACATTTAAGAAAAATATCTTGCTTAAGCTATAGATTTTAGAAAGCATGTGAGAGTTATTCCTGTGCTTTTACACAGCATACCACCACCAGCCTCACAAGTCTCCACTTACAATGTAAAGAGTCACGTAGCTCATCATATCGCTGTAGTGCTAAAGAGGATATATGATTTAGCATCTCTGAAGGTTCAAATTTGGGTTCTCTTTGTCCAGATGCAGCTCTGGTTGCCCTGAACCACACAAGCTAAACAAATCAATTTCCTTCTGCTTAGTTGCATTTCTAACTCTTCTAGCCCCTGGGTAGAAACCATGTGCTTTACACAGGAATTTGGACTTGAGAGCCTAACAGATCAGAGATCCAAGCTGTTGTTCGCCATTTACTGTTACTAGTTTTTAGAAAGCTAAAACAAGCAACATAGCAGATTAAAATATAAGTCCCATAATCACCTTTTCAGCCAGGCCATTAACGAAGATCTAGTTTCTTTTTGGAGTGCACAAAGGTTCATTTAATTTCTTCTATTTTTACCTTTTTTTTTTTTTTCTTTCTCCAAAGGGAGGGTTGTATGAAACTGTGAATGAGGTGTACAAAATTGTCATCCCAATACTGGAAGCCCATCGGGACTTCAGGAAGCTTACCTTGACACACAGCAAACTACAGAAGGCCTTTGACAGCATTATTAATAAGGTACTCATGAGGCAAGGCACTGCTAACAAGACACATTGCTGGGTTGTACTGTCTGACACTGGTGATTATAAAACTGTTTGTGTTAAATTGATTCATTTCCTTTTTTTAACAAAAAATAGCAACTGCTTTGGCCTACCTACAAAGGGTAGTCTACAGTGAAAAGGGGCTCTATCCTCTGTATAGGAAAAAGCAGAGATGAATATAAAACTGGCTTAGAGTTACAGAAAAATAGCTGAACAGGTCAAACTTGGAACAGGAACGTGCATGATTCCACCTGGCCACATCTATATAAACAAAATAACTTTATTGTCAATTAACTAGTATTTTCAGTTATAAAACAGAAGAAATACAAAAGTCTGGTGAAATTCTCAGCAATCGTACTGCCCCTTTCCTTCTCTTTCTCCAGAAGAATCTTATTGCTGAGTCTAGTCAGTTTCAAATTCTTATCAATTTTAATTTTGTTAATGTATATCAAATGGAATAAAAAATAAAAAGTCATTTTGTTTTGCAAAAGTCACTTCATGATTAACCTAAACTTTACGTTATATTTCTGTCAAATGTCCCCTTAATTTGTATGCTTTCCTTCATGAATATGTGCTTCTAGTCCATCAACACTATGACGGTACATAGAACTGGCTCTGAAATAGGGAAAATGTAGGATTAGTGAGTTTTCTAATACATCATTTGGGAAAAAAGGGCATCCAAATACTACAGCATTGACATAAAAAATAAGTAATTGTAAATTTCCTCTTTCTTTTTATCAAATAGGGTCAAAAGCGAATGTTTGGAACTTACTTCCGTGTTGGTTTCTATGGATCCAGATTTGGGGACTTAGATGAACAGGAATTTGTTTATAAGGAACCTGCAATTACCAAACTTCCTGAGATTTCTCACAGATTAGAGGTAAAGGAAAAAATACTGTGTTAATATTATATACAAATTATACTTTCTAATGAACCCATACGGTTCTAATGGTATTACTGCTATAGGAAGATCAGTAACAAACTGATTTGCACCATAGATTATTTCCTTTGTGTATGTCCTTTCCATTTTAGCCCTTTTTACAGCATAATGATGAAAGTGATCCATTCTCTTGAGGCCATGTCTCTTTTGGGTAGGCCTGTAATATATTGAATGATTTGATATGAGCATGCCAGATTCTTGCTTTGGTAGCTTTTCAGCTTTTTCATGGAACTACAATGTTCCCTTCTGATTGCTTTACCCTGAGTTCTGCTTTTTTGTGAGCAGCTCACGCTGATCTTTGTCAGAAGATACCTTACCCTGGCCAGCAGTGGTTCATGAAGTGGCATACTGACTGTACAGAGCCCAGAAATTGTCATGGTTACTCCTTTCTCCTAGAGGCATACAGATCATTAGCATTGTATTAAGGACTAAAACCACTCTGGGATAATTCTGTTTCCTTTCCAGGGATTTTATGGCCAGTGTTTTGGAGAGGATGCTGTGGAAGTGATTAAGGACTCTGCTCCTGTAGACAAAAGAAAGCTGGATCCCAATAAGGTA